TAATGACCTTGAATGCAAATTGATTAAATTCCCCAATTAAAAAATATAGAATGATAATGGATTGTGAGAGAGAGACCCAACTATATGCTGCCTATAAGAAACTGATCTCACCAGCAAAGATACACAGACAAAAGTGAAGGAGTGGAAAAAAGATATTCCATGCAAACAGAAAACAGTAATAAGAAAGAGTAGCTATACTCATATCAGATAAAAACAGACTCTATATCAAAAACTGTAAAAAGAAACATGGGTTTTTATATAATGATAAAAGAATCAAATGAGCAAGAGGTTATAACAATTATAAATATGTATACATCAATGCCAGACTACCAAAATGTATAAACCAAAGATTATTAGATCTAAATAAAGAGATAGACCCCAATACAGTAATAGTGGGGAACTTCAACACCCACTTTCATCAATGGACAGATAATCCAGGCAAAAATATCAACAAAGAAGCATCCAAGTAAAACTTACCCTACAGAACAAATGTGCCTAACAGATACATACAGACCATTTCATCAACAGGTGCAGAATATACATTCTCAGCGGCACATGGAACATTCTCAAGGACAGACCCATGTTAGGCCACAAATTAAGTCTCAACAAATTCAACAAAACTGAAATCACATTACATATGGAATAAAATTAAAAATAAGCAAAAGTATGAACTGTGAAACTTCTACACATTCAGTATATTGATATTAACAATATGTTTCTGAATGATGAAGAAATATTGAACCATGAAGAAACAAACAGAAAATCTGAAGAGGCCAATAATAAAAGACTGATACAGTAATTAAAGTCTACCATCAAAGAAAAGCCCAAATCCAGATAGATAGCTTCACTACGGAGTTCTCTTCAGTAGTTTTACTGAAAACTTTTGTTTTGCTTTGTTTTGTTTTTTGAGACAGGGTCTTGCTGTGCAGCCCAGGCTTTCCTGGCCTCCACCTCCCAAGTGCAGGAAATAAAGGCACTATGACTGGCTTTCTACCAATTTTTCTTAAATTATTCCAAAAATTTGATAAGGAAGGAATTCTTCCAAACTAATCCTTTGGTACCTTGATGCCAGATGAGTACACAACAATTTTAAAAATTACAGACAACTGGGCACCATGTGGCTCACGCCTGTAATCTTAACTACTCAGGATTCCAAGCAAAATAGTTCCAGGTAAATAGTTTGTGAGACCCTATCTTAAAACTATCCAACACAAAAAAGGGCTGGCAGAGTGGCTAAAGTGATAGAGTGCCTGCCTAGCAAGCATGAGGCCCTAAGTTTCAAGCTCCAGTACCATCAAAAAAAGTTGATAAATTAGAGACCAATACCACGATGAACACAGATGCAGAAGTTCTCAACAAAGTACCAGCAAACCAAATCCAACAAAAGTATTGTATCAACAAGAGTTTGATCATGTGGAATTTATTTCAGGTATGCAAGGATGGTTCACCATGTGCAAATCAATAAATGTGATACATCAATACAATAAAGGATGAAAACCATATTGTCATCTCAATAGATGCAGAAAAACCACTCATCCTTTCATGATTTTAAAAAAAACCTCACTAAATTTGAAATAGAAGAAACATAGCTCACATAATTACAGCTATGAGGGGGAATTGATCAGTGGGTTCTAAGATGGGCTTAGATAGGAGCAAGAAGTTCTGGTGTGCTATTGCACTGTGGGGAGACTATGGGTAATGATAATCAATGTACATTTCAAAAGGCTAGAAGAAAAGATTTTGAAAGCTTTCACCACAAATGATAAATGCTTGAAGAAGTAAATATATTTAACTGATTTGAACATTGTGCAATGTATGCATGTATCGAAACATATGGTATGCCACTATTATGTTTGGTTTTTGTGTTTCCAGTTAAAAATAATTTTTAAGAAAGAGAATTAAGGCCATATATAGAAACCCATAGCTAATATCATACCAATTGAGGAAACGTTGAAAGTGTTTCCTCTAAGATCTACAACAAACCAAGAATACCTGCTTTCATCACAGGATACTTTCACTTTCATCACTCTTGTTCAACATAGTATTGGAAGTCCTAGCCAGAGCAATTATCCAAAAGAAAGATATAAAAGGCACCCCAAATTATAGTGGAGGATGTCCTACTCCCTGTTTGCAAGCAACATGATCTTAATATAGAAAAATTTAAAGACTCCACCCAAAAGCTGTTAAACTGATAAAAGAAGCCAGTGAAGATGCAGCATACAAGAGCAGAATACAGACGATCAACATACAAAAATCAGTAGCATTACTTTCTTTACATTTTTATTAGCATATATTAGTTATACAAAAGGGTTTCATTGTACATGTCCATAAATGTATACAGTGTATTTTGATCAAATTCAAAATACACTGTAAAAAATAATTTAACAGAATTTATTATTCTTGTTTCATAGATGTGTATAAAATACTTTGACCATATTCCCCTCCCCCCATCACCCTCTCGCCTTCCCTTTCCTACCTCTCCCCCCAAACAGAACCTGTTTACAATCATTTTTAAGGATTACATTCCACATATGAGAGAGAACATGCAATATTTGTCTTTCTTAGTCTGGCTTATTTTGCTTAACATCATGATCTCTGGTTCCATCTATTTTTCTGCAAACAACATAATTTCATTCTTATTTATGATTGAATAATACTCCATTATGTATATAGACCATATTTTCCTCATCCATTCATCTCTTGATGGATACCTAGGCTGATTCCATATTTTGACTATTGTGTCTAGTGCTGCTATATAGGAAAATGGGTGTGCAGGTATCTCTATTGTATAGCAACTTATATTCCTTTGGATATATGCCCAGGAGTGGTATAGCAGGATTATATGGTAGTTCTTATAGAAATACTACTGATTTTAAAATAGAAATATCATAAAATCAGTAGCATTTCTATACACCAAAGTAAACTAGCTGAAAAATAAATCAAGCTGGCAGTCCAATTTACAGTATCTCCAGAATTTTTAAATATCTAGGAATAAACTTAACCAAGGAAGTAGGAGAACTCTAAAATGAAAACTATAAACTACTGGTGGAGGAAATTGAAAAAGACACCTAACAAATAGGAAGTTATCCCATGTTCATGGATTAGAAGAATTTAATATTGTTAAAATGTCCATACCACCCAAATTCAATGCAATCCCCATCAAAATACCAATGACATTTTTCAAAGAAATAGAAAGACAGAAAAAACACTCCTAAAATCCAAACAAAACCACAAAAAAAAATAGCAAAAGCAACTCTGAGCAGAAAGAATAAAGCTGAGCATCACAATATCTGACTTCAAAATATACTACAAAGCTATAGTAACTAAAAACAGCCAAAAATCAGTATGTCAAAGAGATATCTGCACTCCTATATTTGATTCAGCATTATTCACTGAAGCCAAGATATGAACTCAACCTAGTCAAGATTTATGCATCATCCATCAATGGATGAATAAAGAAAATGTGACAGAGATAGATATATTTACACAATAGAATATTATTTAGCCACAAAAGAATGAAATCCCATCATTTGTGGCCACACAGATGGAACTGGAGTACACTAGGTTAAGTGAGATAAGTAAGGCACATAAAGACAAATACCACATGTTCTCACTTATATTAGAAAGCTAAAAAGTGGATTTCATAGAAGTATGGAGTAAAATAGTGGTTACCAGAGGCTGGGGAGTGTGGGGGTGCTTTTGAGAGGGGACAGTTAAGGGGTACGGGTATGCAGCTGGATTGGAGGAATAATTTCTAGAGTTCTATGGCACCATAGGGTGACAATTTGAGTGTTCCCAACACAAAATGATAAGTGTTTGAAGTGACGTTATATAATTCAAAATCTAATCTGATAATTACACATTGTATACATGTATTGAACTATCACCCTATAAGTATATACAATTACCATGAGTCAATTTAAATTCTTTAATTTTTAAGAGTTAGGATCTAGGTTCTAGTTATCAGAGTTTTCACCTGTATAAATGTGGATAAGAAAGTCAAAAGTGGAAAAAATACAGAACAGTTCATTATTTACAAATTATCCAGGGCATTTGCAAGATAACTGATTTGTCAGCCCCCTACCCACCAAGCGTTAATAATGCCACCTCATTATTGTGACATTAAAAAATACACTGATCTGGGAATTGTGGCACACTTCTAAAGAAGCCAGGAGGAAGAAGCAAGAGGATCACACATTGGAGATCAGCACAAACAAAGCTATCGAGACCCTGTCTCAAAAACAAAATAAAACTAAAGGGCCCAGAGTGTAGCTCAAGTGGTAGAGCACTGGCCTAGCATTTCCAAGACCCTGGGTTCAATACCCAGTACTTTAAAATATATATATATATATATATATATATATATATATATATCCATTGAGATGCACTGGACAATGGCATCACGGAAAGGCTTAAGCTAAATTTGGAGAGCTTCTAGGATTTATTCAAGTAATCGTAAGCACTCAGAAATTGTTTGTTGAATGAATGAAGCCTGATTTTTCATTCCTCCTATTTGTATTTATTTCTTCAGAAATTGTATGTTATCTTTTTTTTTTTTTTTTTACATTTTTGGGTTTTTGAGACAGGGTTCCACCATGTCACCCAGGCTGCCCTGGAACTTGAAATTCTCCTTCTTCCACCTCCCGAAGTGCTGGGATTCCAGGCATATGCTACCACATCCAGCACTGCAGTATCTAAATTTAAACTATGCTTTATCGTAAGTTGAAATAGGATCCTATGTAAGTCAGCATGCAAAGTAGAGACCACGAAAGTCTGCCTAGTACCTTAGAATGGCAAATGTTTAATCTATGGTCTCCATGAACCATTGCATCTTGGTCTTCTGAACATTGAGTCAAGCTAATTGCACAAGATGGTGTTATGTCCATAATAAATTAAAATCTTCGTGCTCTTTGCTGGCCTGTTTAAAATAAAATGTAGGGGTTTCTATGCATTGGTATGACTTATCAACCCATTCTTTCTCTCTGATTATTTTTCGGTAGGATATTGAAGAGACGATGAACACTGCTTTGAATGAACTCCGAGAACTGGAGAGACAGAGTACAGCCAAGCATGCCCCTGATGTGGTGCTGGATACCTTGGAACAAGTGAAAAACTCTCCTACGCCTGCCAGTTCCACAGAATCTCTCAGCCCTTTGCACAGCGTTGCCCTCAGGAGCTCAGAGCCTCAGATCCGACGTAGCACCAGCTCCTCCAGTGACACGATGAGCACTTTCAAGCCTGTGGTGGCACCCAGGATGGGCGTGCAGCTGAAGCCCCCAGCCCTTAGGCCGAAACCTGCAGTCCTTCCAAAAACAAACCCTACCATAGGACCTGCCCCGCCTTCCCAGGGTCCAACAGACAAGTCTTGCACGATGTAAAAACCAGCTGAGCATAAGGGGAGGTGGTTTAAAAGAGAACGGATTAGTGACAAAAGTCAGTGATCCATAACTTTCCTTAGTTTTGTGCTTATAACTGGAGATATTTCGGCTTTTCTATGTTGTCAAATGTAATGTCTGAGAATAGCTAAATTAACATGGGCATTTGTACTTTATAATTTTTTTAAATAACTGGACATATGTCATTTTTAAGACAATAGAAACACTTAGACTTACTTGAAAATCCAATGCTGCACCACTTGTAGTGAAGGTAACACCGCTCCCTGCTTCAGATTTATTGTAGCCCAGGTGAGTCTCCTGAAAGCAGGAGAATCTGAGTTCCAAGTCTTAATGGAGTACAACCAGTGTTGGTCTGTGGCATGTGGGAAATAACTGAAAGGTGACTGTGCATTGTTGAATAGCTGACAGAGGGCGCCTCTGATTCCACCCAGAGCCACGGTCCAGCTCCCGCTATCGCCTTCTGGTTGTCACAGTGGGGTGCTCCCATGGCTTGGATGGGTTGAATGAATGCCTCTTCCCTAACACTCATTCCCTAGGTCCAGTTAAAGACCCGCTGGAAGGGGCTAGAAACTCACAGCTATTGCTTAAACTGAGCCTGGGAAAGGACAGGGAGACACCATCTCCAAAGCTATTGATGTTACTCTGTTCATGAGTGTGATCAGGCCCTAGAGATTTCCAAGACCGTCCCCTGCAATCACAAAGGACTAGAATAGTCTCATTTTAAAGACTTTCTGGTTACAAACTTCTGCAAACATCTGTTGCTCAATAACTGCCTAGAAAATATTTCTATTCTTCCTCTCCACCCCCAATCCCTGTGTCCTCTGTGGCAGTGGAGAAAGCAAACAGGATATGAATCCAAAATCATTCAATGTTCTCTTATGACTAAATTACCTTGGTTCCTTAAAATATGCCACAAAGGCCCAGTGATCTACAATTTGGAATCCCAGCTCTCCTCTCCATTTCTCTCTCTGAACCAACCCAGAACTGGCTGTGCTTACTAAGAGCCATCCCAGGCAATCATGGGAAAATTACCTCGTGGTCCAAGCATGATTTCCTCCCAATTTCATACCTCGGAATAATAACTTTTTTTCTTTTCCCATTTGGTTTTGGTTTTGGTTTGATTTTGGTTTTTGTTGTTGTGTGTTTTGTTTTTTTCTTTCTTTAATTTTTTTGCTTGTAGTCTCTGTATAACTCACAGAGTCTGTTGAGCTCAATAAGGAGTCTCTTTGGCATCTTAGCACATAGACAGGTTTTCTTTAGCCCACTAGTTTTACTGTATTTCTCCCCTATCTTAAAAAATCATGGAGTTTTTGTTTTTGTTGTTTTCTGTGTTGGTGCTAGGGGTTAATACTAGGGCCTCATGCATGCTAATAAGCACATACTCTACCACTGAGCTATATCTCCAGCTCCCCCAGAACTATTTTGAGTGAAATCCTTTTCACCATTGTCCTACCAGCAGCAGCTAATACCATCTGTAGACCTGTGAACATTTTATCTACACATCTTTGAACTTCTATCTTTGTAGAAAAAAATGGATGCCTCAGAACAAACCCCATTGGACCACTGTTGATTATTTTCTAGGATTAATTTCAAACTGGCAGTCAAATGCATGCCCAACTAAGAGTTGTACCAGGTATACTATAATTCATCATCCAGTGATGAATGCATCCTGCAGAAATGACTCAGGATCTAAAGTCAAGATCATTTCTTTGCTCTCTACCTCAGTTTACCAGTCATTCATTCCATTGCAGAGATTAAATTAAGGAAATATTACCTTTCAAAGTCACACTGCTGGTTGATTGCTGAAGCCTCATTTTATAAATGGACTGAATAGTGGTTTTTACCTCCCTCCCCCAAGTATTTCCAAGTATGGTAAAGTTTTAAACCTCTGAATTTTCAGAACCATTCCTTTTGGCCATTTTGAAAAAGAGGTCTCAGACCCTGCCAGGACTGAGTTTTGAATAGTAGTAACCCTTTTAAACGACATTTCCCACATTTCCTAGGAAGTTTAGACTTCCCTAAACAACCGCCTCCCCCATAATCCTTTTAAATAATAAGGATTCTTAAAACCATTTTACTTTTTTGATAGAAGTTGTCAGCACAGGAAGGGCAGAGGTGCTGTGAATTTCTTTTTAAATGCCTTTAGCTTTTCAGATCTTACTCCCACAGCTCATTCCTTCAGATATCTCCTGGGAATCCTCCCAGGTCTCCTTTCTGTTGTCCACTTATGCTTTTCTGCCCCTTGGATCAGGACTCTGTGTCTTGAACGAAAGAGGACATGCAGCTGTTGACCCTTGGAGCCTCAGAAGCTGTGCCTTCTTTCAGGAAACAGCTCCTAATACATTTCTGCCACTCCCTATTCTACCTGGCTCCTGTACTGTTTTCAGCTCCTAATATATTTCCATCATTCCCTATTCTGCATGGCTCCATCTTTTCTCCCTGTACTGTTTTCACCCCAGATTTTTGTTTCTATCAATTGCAAATGAAAGGTACAGCCTCCAAGTGAGAAAGTGCTCAGTAAGAATTCACCTATCCTTACTTTGCTTAGTAATTGTTCAGCCTCGTTTCTTCATACAGTATAATCTGACTGTGGTGTCCCTTGAACCACCCATAAAAAAATTTACAGGGATAAGACAAGGTGGTCACTTCACAAAGAACCCAAACAACAACCAGTAAAGCTCACTCATTAAAAACTGAAGCAGCTGAGAGCGTTCACCTGATGCTAGGCCTTCTTTAGGGCTACAAGTGGAGCAACAGAGGGGAGGTACAGGGAAGAGGGAGAAAGAGAGAATATGAGTCCTGGGGTTATTAAAACCCCCTATTTCAAGGACCTTAGCAGTCTTCTAGAACAGTTTAGGAAGGTCATTTTGATGATGGTAAATTTTGGTTCTACCAGGACTGCTGGGCTCCACCTACACAAGAATATGAATTCACAGCTGATACAACTGTATGTGGTGTCCCAGCCATGGAACTCACTGACATAGATACCAATTATCCTTTTAGTTTAGGTTGGTGGTTTGAGAAATGGATTATTAGGACAGAAAAAGGTACACAGTGCACATTTTCTGATGAGTGCTATGTAAACTCTTTCGACCTGTTGAGTGGCACTTTTTTTTTTTTTGTCTTTTCTTTTTTGGTGCTGGGATCGAACCCAGGGCCTCACGCATGCTAGGCAAGCGCTGTACCACCGAGCTACATCCCAGCCCTGAGTGGCACTTTTTAGAGCACCATGTTCTTGTTCAGTGTCAACACCATTATTCAACAAATTTACATGTCTTCACACAACTTTTGTGCTCCTTGAGCCACCCATAGAATAATACACCAAGGGTCCCACTTAATCTACCACAATATTCACAAACAGTTATCAATGAATATAGAGTTCCAAGTATCAAATTGGGTCCTTTAAGAGTTTTCTGTGTGCTTTTTGCCATTCCCAAAATGGGTTTATAATTTAACTGTAAGAAAAAAGAAGATGGGTTGGTAGGGGAGTCCTTGGCATTTGAGAATGGCATAGCCTTTGAAGCCTATGAACCAAAGCAACAAATCTGATAATTAGAACCTCTGAAATCCACATTTGAAAAGCCTATGGGTTGGGCAAGGCATGGTGGTAAACCTGTACCTAAGGAGGTAGAGGTAGGAGGATTATGATCCAAGGCTGACCCAGGCAGATGCTCAAGATCCTACCTAAAACCAACTAAAGCAAAAAGGGCTGGGGACATGGCTCAAGTGGCAGAGCCCTTGTCTAGCAAGGGTGAGACCCTGAATTCAAATTGTAGTACCATCAAGAAAAAAAAGCCTATGGATCCATTGAGGAGGGTTAGAAGACTTCAGATTTGTGTTGATATTTATTCCTGACCACAGCAGTAAGAGGCCATCTATACAGGAAATGCATATGGGGCTCAGTCCTGCTTTCAGTTATCCATCACAGAGACCCTGGGACACAGAGTGACTTACAACTGAAGGCTCTATCTATGTGTAAATAGAGCCCCCTACTCCAGGCCACCCCCTGAGCCAAGACCACCCCCCCCCAAAGCTTCAGCTGGGCTGGAGCATCAGTTTTGGCACAGGGTGACTTTGGCACAAATGAATAAAGCAAGCCTAATTTGACCTTTCACTTAAAATTTTTTTTTAAATAGTCTATGTGGTATAATTGAGATGGGTACCTGTATCTTTAAATTACATAGGGAATTTTGTATGTTTAAATAATTGTATTGGGTTCCATAATGCTTATCTTAGAAACTGTTTAGTAAAAGAAAAATATATAAATCGTGCATTTGTGAATGCCCCGCTTAGAGCATTCATCCAAGTTCAATGTGTAGTGCGATGGTTATTATAGATATTTAAAGTATAGTAAGTGGCTGTGTAACAGGAGAGACTGCTATTTACCTGCGTACTTAAGGGTAACTCCTGCCCACCTAATTAAATCAGTATTGTCCTTTCCTGTCAGTTTGATCGATTGCAGTACTGGTAGCTTCCCGCTTGTGACTGTTACCTATTTGTGTCGATGTACATCTGTAGTATGTACATGTGAAAGTGCCTTTCTATTTTAGAGGAATTTAGCCTTGCTCTTGTACTGTTGCCCACTCTGTGCCCTGTCCACCTCCATCTCCCAATTCCTGCCCACCTGAGTGTTTTGAAACTTCCTCACTTTCTCCCAACCTCTTCTCCATCCCCACCTTCCTGTGCCTCTCAGTGCTCAGCCATGTGTGTCTTGCATCCTTGTTAATCATCAGACTGTCTCGTTTTCCTCGTAGACGTGATTGTGCCTTTCTAGTCCTGCAGTGACTCTCCCGCATCCTCCCATCCCACATCATCTGTGCCCCGCTCACACACTGCCACATGCCATCGTGTTCGCCCATGCCCTGTACTGCCTTTCACTGTTCCACTCCCTCCTCTGTGAGGTGAAAATAAATGGGGATGCTTTTTACAGTTCTGGAAAAAAACAATGTTTTGTTAATCTGTCGTGGCAATGCACCTTTATGTATAGTACTGTACATTTTGGCATGTTTCATATACAGGCTTCGGTATACAGTCGGTTTTGTTCTTCACGGTGTATCTTTATAATAAATAAGATAGCTCTGGCCGCCTCTGTCTGCATGCAGTTTGGTGTGATTCTCTGTGCTGTCTTTGTTC